TTGTACTCGGTGTTTGTGGGTTCAAGCCCAAGCAACTTTAGCGGGCTGCTGTTACTGGTATGTCTTTCTCCTATGCAATATAAGTCTCGAAGCCTGAACATTCGGATCCTTGTTGTTAGAAGAGACCTTTAACAAGCTACTATGGGAGCATCAATAATTCGCAGGGGTTTTGGCGTAGATTAAACTATAACTCTATAGCAAGGAACCACCCCCCCCCCCCCAAACAAAAAAAACAAAAACACACACACACAGACACACAAGAAATCGTATAGGTAATGATTATGGCCCGCACATTACTCCAAAAGCCCCAAGCCCCAAAGAGTGCCTTACGGCGGCAGGGAGGCAGGTGCCGATACCCCTTAATTAATTAAGGAATATACCTTAAATTATAGGCGCCTTAATATTATAATTTACAGTATATTCCTTAATTAAGGGGTATTGGGTTCTCTGGGCAGGCAGGTGCCGATCCCAGCCTACGCTGCTTCCCGGGGCTGACTCCCTTCGACACGGCATGTGCATGTTCCGCCGTCGAGGCAAGTATAGAGATTCAGGGTTTCGGGCTTAGGGTTCAGGGCTTATATGACAAGTTTAGGGTATTAGGGCTTCTAGTTTAGGGTTTTTTCAGTTTTTAGAGTTTAGGATTCTAGCCTCAGGGTGTCCCTGGCAGTAGCCGCTTATCGCAGCCCTTCGTAGTTCAGGTTTTGGGTTCAGCCTAGTCGCTCAGAGCCCCGATCCTATCCAAGCCATACCCTAAAGTTGACCTGAAAATCCCAAAGCCCGTCATTGTGGATGATCACAGGCGATGAAGGAAATGATGCTGGGTTATGATTAGATCACCTTTTGCATTCTTCTGCTTTTTCAGTCCTTGCATAGCAAAAAGCACACGATCAGTGGCAAGGGTCCCTTAGCCAGCAGCCATACCTCAGGCTTGTCCAGATCCCATCCACGAGTTTGCGGCGCAGTTTGCACTGGGCACTCATGTTCCATGGAGGATCCACAGAAACCGTGAAGTTGCTTGGCCTGTAGGGTTTAGACTCTTGGAGTTCAAGGATGTCAGGGTGATGTTTTGGGATCTGGGCATCAGGTATTTGAGAGGCCTTCCCTGAAGAAACACGGAGTACCTGAACCCTGATTTTTCCAACCTTGCTGTAGTTCCTCAATATATGTTTTTTGCACGTCCATATAGCTTGCCTAAACCCTAGACGAAAAAAACAATAGGCTAGGTTTAGCAATCTTGAATAACAGGAAAGCAGTCCATGTTCTAAGCCGTCAAAACTGCCACCACGAGGATCAGAACAAGGCGAACAAGACAACAGCTCTGTCAGGTGGTTTATAACCCTTAAAACTCTAAACCCTACCGCCCCTCAAACAAAAATCCAACAACCCTAACCCACCCTCCAACACAAAGTGAAAAGCCGCATACTAATACATACTCGCTCGCACACACAACGAAAAAGACATACCCCTAAACCCCTAAACCCTAAACCCCAAGAAATACCACCACCCCTTTCCCAGGTTCTTGATCCATGCCCGGGCAGATGTGGACGAGCGCTTCCAAATTTCGGCAACCGAACCTACCTGGTGGCTGCTGATGAAGGCTTCGGGGTTTAGGGTTTAGGGTTCAGGATTTTTGGGGCTTAGGGTTCAGGGCGTTTGGGGTTTAGGGTTCAGGGTTGAGGGTTCAGGGTTTCTAAAGGATTCATTGAAAGGGTGTTTTAGGGGTTGTTACTAAGGGTTTAGGATTTTCGAGATTCCTCTGACGGGTGTAGAGTTGAGAGTTTAGGGGTTGTAGGAGGTTCAGTTTCAGGGCTCAGGGTTTTTAGGGGGTTTACAGGGTTCCTTGAAAGGGATGAGGGCCTGGGTAGGCTTACGAAAGCACGTATAGGGTTGAGGGTTTTGGTACTCTTTGGGTAGGGGCCTTGGTTTGAAGCGGTTCAGGGCTCTAGGGTTCTAAGGGTTTTTTGGGGCTTTGGGTTCAAAAGGGTTTAGTGTTTTCGGGTTCCAAGCGGTTTAGGGTATCTCGGGCTTCCGGACTTCATGATTTGTAGGTGTCGGGGTTTCAGGCAGGAGTGCAGGGGTTCGGGGTTTTGGAGCCTTGAGGATATAGGCTTATCGCTTGTTAGGGGGTGTAGGAGAGCTCTTTGAGAGCTCTCGGATGCTCGCTTCATTCTGAGGTGCTTAGGGGTGATTAGATCCTGAAAAGCTCACCTTCACAGTGCAAAGTGCTTAGAAAGTTCGGTATCCGGCTTTAGGATAGGAGTAGTCGTCGTAGGAGCAGTAGTAGTAGTAGTAGTAGTAGTAGCAGCAGCAGCAGTAGTAGTAGTGGTCGTAGTGGTAGTGTAGGCTAGTATATGGGGAGGGGCTATACTTTATTTATGATTATCATTTGCTACTACCCGTCGGGTTCAGGGCTTGTTAAACAGGTCCATGCTAGGGCGAAAGCCTTATCGCAACAATTAAGCCCCCAAACCAACCCTAAACCCTAAACCCCAAACCTTGAACCCTAGATCCAACCAGATTCTTCCTCAAGCGTTGCCACTGGTGTTACAAAAGATCCCTTTCGGCTCCACGACTTCGAAACCCAAAAAAGCCCTAAGAATGTCCTCCAGCCCCGAAGCCCTCAACCCCAAGACATTTCAAAACCCATAGAAAAGACCAGTTACAAACAGTTTCGGGTGTAAGGTTCCCTAGTAGAGACCCCAAACCTTACGCCCTAAACCAGACCCCTAAACCCTAAACCCTAAACCTCTACATAACCCCTAAACCCTAAACCCTAAACCCTAAACCCTACCTTCTAAGACCCCACGGGCCTGGGCCGAGGGAGCGAGCCTCAAGCACAGAGTGAGCCCGTCGAAGTTGACTGCGCTGGCCTACCACCGGAGGGGCGCCACACCGCTGATGCGCTTTGGACTGTGTCAAGAGTAGGGTTTGAAGCCCAGGTGTCTATTTGGATTGCCCTGGCCCGTTTAGAATCCGGATTCTGTTGACATGTGGGTTTGAGTTTAAGGGCTTGCATATTGTGAAACGTCGAGCATTGGGAGTCGAAAGAGAGCTTTGGCTAGGGAGTTGGCACCTTTTTCAAGCCCAGGTCGCACTCTTCTGATAAGGGAAGAACGAAGAGTGGTGGTAGAAGTGTGCGATTCATGTGTGTGTGTGTGTGTTCATGTTCAGCTCTTATCCGGTACGCGTTCCTGTGTTTCGTGAAGCTCAACAATGCCCTTTGCCATTCTCAGGGTATTTTCAGTCCGACAACTAGTATCTGACAGCTCGGGCCGCTGAAACATGTAGGTATGGATGGATGGACGGGATGTGATGTGATATAATGTGATGTGGTGTCATCTAAGAAATCGCGTCGTGCCATGCCATGTTAGGTTACCTGGTGTTATGCTGTGTTATGTTTGTGCATGTTTCAAGTTATTCGTCTTATGACTTTTGTTTATGTGTCATTGTTGGTGTTGCTGATGCCTATTCTTATGCTTACATATGTTGGTATGCATGCAATGCATGCATTCATGCATACACGTATTGCATGTGTGTGTGTGTGCGCGCGCGCGTCTTTGAACGAATGAATGTATGTGTGCACGCACGTGCATATGTCTGCATGTCAGTGTATATGGGCATATGTGCAAATATCTATGTGTATGTATGTACGCTTGCGGTGTGATATATGTGATTTGATGTGATTTGGAGTGTGTTTGCATGAATGTATGTATGTACGCACGTACGCACGCACGTACGCGCACGCGCACGCACGCACACATGTGCATGTGCATACGTACGTGCGTACGTATACCTACTCACTTACGTATGTAGGTATGCATGTAGGTTGGTAGGTCTACGTAGGTAGGTAGGTAGGTAGGTAGGTAGGTAGGTCGGTCGGTCGGTCGGTAGGTCGGTCGGTAGGTCGGTCAGTTGGTCGGCAGGTCGGTAGGTCGGTAGGTCGGTCGGTAGGTAGGTAGGCAGGAAGG